AAAATGTGGATATTGTTTACCAGTTACCTATCGAATTAGTATCTTAACTTAACTTTTTTCACTCATAACAAAAAGTTAAGTGTGAGCTCACATTTTTTCTAACGAGAAAATCTTAAACAAAAGTATTTAACTAAATAATTTTATATCTGATACCATTTATTGAACATGGCCAGTAAATGGATTAAATAACCGGCCAGTAAATGGTGCATTACTAAAGGTTTAATCTAGCTCAGCTGAAACATTATATGTGCGGCATCAACTAAATAATTTTGTTTCAAAGTCTACATAAGATATTTATCATTTTTTTCGTTCCTGAAAAGACTGCCACAAATATTTGTCGCGCATAAAAAATGAGAATAAAATATGAATTTACGAAAATAAAGCGTAAAATAGTAACATTTAATATGATGTTTTTCACATTAAATTCTAGCAACTAAAACCTTCAAGAAATTCCCTGAAATTGCAAAATTTAGAAAGTTTTAATAAAGTCATTGAGTTTAAATAATAATTTAGTACAACTTGCGTAATAAATTCTTGTGAAAAAAGTTTTTAAAAGTAGCCAGTAAATGGTTAATGGCCAGTAATTGGCGTGTTTACCTTATATGCTTAATCAATTTATAAACAAAAATTATGCAATTTAGGCAACAAGCTCCTATATTAGCTGAGGCAGTGTACCAATTATTCTGGCTAATTTTTTGGAGAAAAATATCCAAAATATTTAGTTCGTTTTTTGAGGAACAAAAAGAATCAATAAACAAAGTAAAACTTTAAATAGTCAAAGTATAAACTATTTTCAATCCTTTGATGTTTGAGGTTTAAATAGTTTTATATAAATACTTGCTATACATAAAACTTGAAAATTAATAAGATTTGTTTTCAAAGTTACCCCACTATTCAAAGTAACCCAGATTTATGATACTTTTATTGTGTTTTAAAGAATTGTTATGTTTGACAAGATTAGCCATTTTAGGCCTAATCATACAGTGACATTATTTGTAATATGCTCTATGGGTGCCATTTTTAATGATTTTAACCAATGAAAACTTATATCTGTTTATATTGGCGATTAGTATCATAATCCGCCTTAAAATGTCATAAGGTTTATAAAAAAAAAATTGAATTAGATTGTTATCTTTTTAAAATTTCTAAATTAAAAATGTTTTATTTTAAAGTAAATTGCTTTAGTACTTCGTCGGAAAGCCCTTGGCATTGATTACTGCTTGACACTGACAAGGCATTGAGCCCACCAGCTTCATACGCAAAAAAAATTTGATTTTTCCCCATTCTTGTTTTAGAATATTCAATAAATTACGTTTACTTCTTAGTTTTCGAATCGAAATTTATCAATTAATGAGCATACATAGATATTTAATAGAAAGGTCAAAACTTTGCTAAGGCTATTTGATAATTCAAATTTCTTAGATTTAAAAAATATATTTTACAATGTTTGAAGTGAGTTTTGGGTCATCGTCCTGCTAAAACATTCTTCCTCGAGGCATTTTGTCTTTATCATGTGGTAGCCTAACTTCTTTTGTACATATTTGTGTCCATGCTGTCATCAATAAAATGGATATGACTAATACTACCCCTATTTAGGTTAGCCCAGTTCATAACGTTTCAACCTCTGTGCTTTACTGCTGATAGCTGGTCTTTAAGACTGTTGTACGGCCTTTTGGTCGACAAACATATCTTATATTATCAGATCCAATTAACATAAACTTAAATTCATCACTAAAAATTACTTTAGTGCATGTAAATTCATTAGCGAATTTTAAGAGTGCTTTTCTATTCTTTATATAAATAAAAAGTTTCTCTGTAGGACCTCTTCCAAATAGATTTGCAGACCTCAAAAGACGTTTGATTGTGTCAACACTACATTTTAAATTATGAAGTTCTTTAATTTCAGCCTTTGCCAAGACAGCATTTTGCATGGATCATTTTTCATGGCTCGAAGATGGATATTTCAACAGGATAATGATCTAAAAAAAACTTAAACCCTTGTTAAAGACTTTTTCAAAAACAAAAAAAATTCAATTAATGAAATGGCCATATTAAAGTCCTGAACTTATTTCCATTAAACATCTATGAAACACACTGATTGACAAATTTCAGGTTGAAAACCAACAAGAAAATTTGACTCATTGATTAAGAAGCTGGTGGACTCAATGCCTAGTCACTGTCAAACAGTATTGGGCTTCCCGACAAAGTACAAAAGAAAAATACTTTAAAATAAAGCAAAACCTGAATTAGATTTTATTATAATCAAATTTTAAAATTGTTTAAAATAAAATCTAATTCAAGTTTTTTTTTATTTTGAGCGGATATATTGACACACGCATATTTTAATTAAATGCACTTTTAAGGTTAGATTGCTTAGACTTAATACAAATTTTGAAAAAAAAAAAAATTTGAAAGAAATTGGACTTTCCAATAGAAACATTTCTCAAGTTAAGCTCTTGTCCGGTTACTTTTGCACGCTATTGTGTATGGATTTCGTGCTTATCACTCTACAACTTGTACTCTAATTAAAATGACTGAAGGCTTTGAGGATAAATACTTTGCTTGTGGTGTACTTGTTGATTTAAAAATTGAATATAACACAGTAGATCACTTTATTTTGCATATTTAAAAAAAGTTAATATTGTGAGATAAAAGATATGCTCCTTAAATGGTTAACTACTTATATAAATAAAATAACACATATTGTTTTCCTAAAACACTTAAAGTCTACCTCTCAAAGTGTTGGTTGTTTAATTTAAGCCTTTATTTGGAACTTTTGAACAATTGTATCGATAAAAAAAGTCAGCAACGTTAATCAAATCAATCAATTTTGGTCAAACGGTAATCGAATTAGTTTCATAAGTATAACTCTTTGTGTAAAACAACAACTGAAGGTTTCACATTTACTACTTTCCAACCTTTCATAAATTTTTCTATTAAAGTGTTATCAGTGCCCCAAGTAGAACTTTGCAAATATCTATTTTTGTACTTAAAGTTTAGTACTTAAAGACACATGCAGTTTTTTCATGGAGAGTTTTGCAACATTTTTAGTGATATTCTTTGGATATTTGTAGACTCAAAGCATTATTTAGACAAAGGACGGGAAACTTTTGAAGAGTGTTTCCTTTTGTACTATAGAATTTGTAAAATGCAATTAAAATTTGCATTGATATATTTTAAATCAGAAGGTGAAACTCAAAAATGATTAGCAAATAACTGATTACTTAAAAAGAAATATAACCGATCTCTTGGTATATATTAGAGAAAGAAACATATGAAATTTAAAGTTGTTTAAAACGTTTTTGAATTTGTAAGTAGGATCAATCAAAGTAAACATGTAAGTAGGATCAATCAAAGTAAATATGTAAGTAGGATCAATCAAAGTAAAGAAATTCTCAAAATAAAGAGCTTGTTTAATGTCGAAAGTTTATTTAAATAAGTTCATTTTCCTGAATACAATTGATTCATAAAAAAATTACGATTGACAACAAGATTGTCATATGTTGTAATTATTATATAAAATCCAATATTACTATGCATTTACAGGACCTGTACTAATTCATTAAAATGGGAACGTTTATTTTAGAAAAAGAAAAAAAATTTAAAAAAAATTAAAAAAAGGAAAAAATTAAAAAGTATTTATAAATTTTTCAGCAACTGAAGAAATAAATACTAAAACAGTTTTTGTTAGCTTATATATTTAATCTACAATACCCAAAAACCATTCATCTGCGAATTCAACTTCTTGATTAATTAAAATATCTTTAAATATTTTATTTACAACTTTTTTTTTATTGATCAACAATTGTCTAATTATTTCAAGAATAAACTTGTTTTTGTTATTCATTCTATACAAATATAAAATAAGAACTTGATGTAGTAGATACAAATATATAATTAGAACTTGATGGCAAAATAAAGTTGTTATTATGGAAAATCATCTCATTTTATCTTTTACTACTTGCGTATCATAGCAAACAAGTAACATTCGAATATATGTTGTATCTTTAGCTTAACTTTTTTAATAAAAGAAGCTTATCTTATGTGAAGCTTATCTTATGTGAAGCTTATCTTATGTGAAGCTTATCTTATGTGAAGCTTATCTTATGTGAAGCTTATCTTATGTGAAGCTTATCTTATGTGAAGCTTATCTCATGTAAAGCGAAGGTTTTATTACGATTTTATTCAGTTTTTTATATTTTATAAAAATTGAATATATGCATATATAGGTAAAATTTGATTATTCTTTTTATTAATGTATTTAGCTCAGCAAACCCTCTAAATCTGATTAACTGGAAATTTTCGTTATGTTTGCCATTACATACTAAAAAATTTCATTTATAAATAACAACAACTTAGTTTAGAGAAAAAAAAAACTAAAATTTTGGTATATATGACAACAGATATTTGGTATATATGATAATAGATAATTTGACAGTTGTTCCAGTTTCAGTTACCTGAAGACTAAATAGCTTACAATATCATTTGCAACAAAAAAGATAAGATGGAAACTGGTTTTGGTTGCTATCTTATTTTCATACGACTTCTGTTACAAACATGCATTTTAAAAATGTTTTTTTATAGTGTATGTAGTAAACGTAACTGTTTTTTTTTTCTTATAAACGTTGCTATCAGGAGAAAAAGAGAGTTAGGTTTTAGATTTTAGATCAGGATCTGTATTACACCCAGTTTAACACCCAGATAAACACCGATAAGCTCTTACTATCTTAAGTTTTATTTAATCTAGTATGTAATAAAGATTTTACATTTACGTTTTACTTTAGCTAAAAACATTTTTTTTAAATGTTTTTTTTTTGGTCCCTTATCGTATGCGTTTTTGAAAATTTGTTTGCGAGTGCGAAAGCTAACTATGCGCAGGCTAAGTATATTGGAGACTAATATACCTGGTCTGCGCATAGTTGTTTTATTTCCATTATATGGAAATACTCAGACCTTTTAGTAGTAAAACTATTTAATTTTATGTAGCACAAATCATAAAGGGATTAAAGTCTCATCATACGACATTTATTAAAGCCGATCCCACAATTCAAAGCGTAATTCTTTAAAAGGTGTCGTTAAATCTGCATTTGTTTCACAATACACGTAAACTGAAGGTGAACTTTTAAAATCTTTTAGCTAAAAATTAAAAAGGCTTGAAGCTTTATTTTCAAAAATGAGGCTTTTCATCATTTGCACTCTAATAACTTTTGTTGCTGGAACACGTAAGCAAAATTTTTTTATAGTTCATAAATAAAAAACTTTAATATAAGCAATATTATACAATAAATTATTCATTTTATTAGAACATTTAACAAATGTTCTATAGGACACAATTATCTAAAAGTAGCAGACTATTGTAGTACCCTAATTAAAATAATACATCAACAATTTTAAAATATTTAAAATAAAACAAATTTAAAATAATAATAATAATAACAATAATAATAGTAGTAACAATAAGCGATACGTGTTTTAGAAAATATTATTTCGTTGTTATTATTTAATTAAATTGCATCATTGTATAATAAACTTTTGAAAATTTTGTATATTTTTATTATGTTTTAAATAATAATGATACTAAACTAATAGTTTCTTTTCAATTACTAAATAAGATTTATTTTTCTTTACGAGTAAGTTTTTAAGCGTTTTCTGTAACTAGTTTTTCTCGTTTTTTTTTATGTTTTTTAAACTAAAGTGACTAAAAATAAAATTATCTTCCTTTTGAAGTTTATTTTATACTAAGAACAACTAGTTTATAAGCTTTTAGAAACAGCTTTTACGGAAAGTTAAGCAAATAAGTATTTAATAACTCTTGGCTTGAAACGCTTTTACTAAAAATTAAAAATTTTGGTTTTATACTAAAACTAAATATTTTTGTATGAAACTTTTTTTTAACACTTTTTTTCCATTAATATTTTGTGCAGTAAATAATAAGCAGAATAAAAGATATGTTAAACAAAATTGTAAAAAAAAACGTGAACATTCCCCCCCCCCCTAATTTGATATGCAAAGAGGTCTTTTTTAACATGACGAGTTGATGTTTAACAAGCGAGGCAATGATTAAATTTGCAAAAAAAATCTTAGCATTGCCCTTTATGCACGACCTAAATAGAAATATTATCCTTTTAAGCAATAAAAGTCATAAAGCATAAAGAGTTCATTATTTGAAAGAAAATTAACAATAGTGAAGCGTATATATAAGCATATATATATAAGCATATATATATATATATATATATATATATATATATATATATATATATATATATTTTATAAATATATATTATCAATAAATATATATATATATATATATATATATATATATATATATATATATATATATATATATATATATATATATATATATATATTATCAATATATATATATATATATATATATATATATATATATTATCAATATATATATATATATATATATATATATATATATATATATATATATATATATATATATATATATATATATATATATATATATATATATATATATATATATATATATATATATATATATATATTATAACGAGTTAATAATTGCTAATAATTATAACGAGTTAATAACTGCTAAAATTAACTATTTGCCTCATTATTTCGTTTCTACTATTTTCGACACTATTCTTTCTTTTTGGTCAATTCATTAAACTCACAATTCATTAAACTTATTTGCACAATTCATTAAACTCATTGGCAAAATTCATTAAACTCATTTGCGACACTATTATTTTTGTGGCGACATAAAATTTTTTTTAAATATTTTAGACACTATTCTGAAGTTTATTTTTTGACACTATTCTTATCACTCAAAAATTATCTATTTATAGAGATTTTAATTCAGAGCAACAATAGCTTTTTCAGAAGGAGATTATTTTGCATAGAATGCGTAATGCGCAATTATTGCGTAATTAGGTAACAAATAAATTATTTTTTGTTAAAGTATTACTTATCTTTTGCTATCACAATTAAAACTGTATTGAAATATTAAAACCTAATTCGGACTTGTAATTTCTAAAAACTTTTAAGATCCTTGAGATGCTAAAGACAAAAAGACGTGTAACAAAGTGTAGACGTGTGTAAAGACGTATGCACAAAATGATGTTAACTATCTTATGAACAAACCCGGCATACATTTTTAAATGGTCAGTTTTAAATCAAATTGATACTAAAAAATAATAAAGTACTTAACAAAAATCTCTAAAGATTACCGTGTTTAAAGTTTTTTGTACACGTGATGAAATGTAACGCAATAAATTAAAGAATATCAAAAAAACCATAATTGTTTTTCAACATCAAAATAAAGTGAAAAAAAATTGCATCAAAAGAGAAATGTATAGCATCAATAACAACTTTTTAAGAAATTTATGTTTTTTAAAATTTTTTTTAAAAGCGATATTCATTTTGTATTAAGAGAATCAGAACTTTTCTAAAGTTTTTCTTTTAACATTAAACTGTTTAGTAATAACATTAAAAAAAAGTTTCTATAAAAACGGTTTTTTTATAATCATCAAATACACGATTCTCTGATTTGAGTTTAGGCGCTGCGCACACATGTTAAATGTCATGCGCAAACCTAGCGGAGGTAAACAAACATTTATTTTTATAATTTGACTTGAGTTATACTGCGAGAAGGTCATAAAAGAAATATAAATGTCTACTCATTGTGCTGATAAAGGTTGTAAAAATGGTCAATATAGACTTATTAAATGGAGACAGGAAATTTGCGAAGTTCACGGGACAAGAAGAGAAGAAGAAAACTGTAATTGCACAGAACTTTTATGTATAGACTAATTTTATGTAACTAGACTAATTCTTTCATAATAATAGTGTTAGATAACACTATAATTATAGTGTATTATATGGATATTGTGTAAATTATTAGTAAAATATTATATGGATATTGTGTAAATTATTAGTATTAATAGTGTTATAAAACACTATATAGTTTTTTATGGTATAATGAATATTAATAGTGTTATAATAAACTAGTGTATTATAATACTATTATAATACACTATAATTATAGTGTATTATAACACTATTATTATGCATTATTTTATATAACATTATAGTGTATTATAACACTATTTATATGCATTATTTTATTTAATATATAGTGTATAATAACACTATTAATACTAATAATTTACATATAATATATGTAAATTATATATATATATATATATATATATATATATATATATATATATATATATATATATATATATATATATATATATATATTATATATATATATATATATATATATATATATATATATATATATATATATTATATATATATATTTATATATATATATATATATATATATATATATATATATATATATATATATATATATATATATATATATATATATATATATATGTATATATATGTATATATAAATATATATATATATATATATATACATATATATATATATATATATATATATATATATATATATATATATATATATATATATATATATATATATATATATATATATATATATATATATATATATATATATGTATATATATATATATATATATATATATATATATATATATATATATATATATATGTATATATATATATATTATATATATATATATATATATATATATATATATATATATATATATATATATATATATATATATATATATATATATATAACAGACATTATTTTGAAATCCTGTAAAGTCATTTGATTTGATAAAACTGTATCTTCGTTATCCATTTCAGACATTTACAACCAAACTACCTTTAGATTTATTCTTTTTGGTTTGTTTACCTTTGCTAGGTTTGCGCATGTCATTTAACATGCGTGCGCAGCGCTTAAACTCAAATCAGAGAATCGTGTATTAAAGGTTGTTTACGACCATCAAATTAAAGTTCACAACCATCAAATTAAACGAGCAGCCGTGGCGCTGTGATTAGAGTTCTGGCTCAGAACTAATAGGTCCTAGATTCGACGTGGGCTATAACTCAAAAAATGGCCACGGTCATTTAGATATTAGTAAAATGCGCTATGTTTAGGTACGCATGCGTAAGAAAACACAAAAAACTTTTGAACTTTTAAAACGATTACGGTTCTTAACTACAGAGAATATTTTATATGGCAACAGATTATTTGTTAATTAATTTCTAAAAAGCCAATGATGTAGTCTTATTTTTAAGGTAAATTAATATAACATTACAAAAATTTCACAAAAATATAAATAAAAAGAAGTAATAAAAATCTTAGCGCGCCTGAACTTATTTTTATTTAATACTTTTTTAGTGTAAATCATACATTTGTTTATTTATTTAAAATCAATTTTCTAAAAATCTGACTGTAAGATTTCAAAAAAAATTTTCAGATTAATATGTTCTATAAGTATGATAGTTTTTTTGGTCATTGTTTTAATTTTTTTCCATATAAAAATTAGTTTATACTGCTATGACTATTTCCTAATATATCAAAGTGCAATTGCATTGATTATACTGTTATTTATTATTTTTATGACTATATATATATATATATATATATATATTATATATATATATATATATATATATATATATATATATATATATATATATATATATATATATTTAATGAAGCTCATAGATTTGTTAGTTTTTTTGAAACCAATTTTTTTAAAATCTGGCTGAAGGATTTCAATAATTTTTTTTTAAACTTTAGATAAATATGGTCTATATTTTTGATATTTTTCTGCTCTTTGCTTCAATTTTTTTTTAATATAAAAATTAGTTTTTACTGTTATATATATATATATATATATATATATATATATATATATATATATATATATATATATATATATATATATATATATATAACAGTAAAAACTAATTTTTATAATAAAAAAAAATTGAAGCAAAGAGCAGAAAAATATCAAAAATATAGACCATATTTATCTAAAGTTTAAAAAAAAATTATTGAAATCCTTCAGCCAGATTTAAAAAAAATTGGTTTCAAAAAAATTAACAAATCTATGAGTTTCATTAAATATATATATATATATATATATATATATATATATATATATATATATATATATATAAATATATATATATATATATATATATATATATATATATATATATATATATATGTATTTTTTATATATTTACACACATGCACACACACATATATATGTGTGTGTGCATTTAAAGATACCATTTTAGTGTAATATGAGCATGCTCAAATTACCCAGTGCTTTTCATTGAAATTGCTTAGTTTAAAGTCCTAATATAGCAGTGGTTCTTAATTGCTTCTTGAATAAAAACAAAACATAGTAAAAAATTTTAATATATTAACAGTACTAAATATTTTTCTGTAACTTCAATCTAAAAAATTTTAATTTTTATTGTTCAAAGGTTTGAGTTAACAAAATTGAAAAAACAATGTATTAATTTTTTTTTTTAAGCGGAAAACATAGTAGTATTGTTTCAACAAAATGTAGCTAAAAATTTGATCTTTTAATGATATATTTTGTTAATCACGAATCCTTATATTCCAGCAATTAGTTCTATTAAGCAGGTTGGTCTTTTTTTACTTAATTAATGCTATTTTTTTGAGCTAATTTAAAGTGCTCATATTACCAAGGGGTCAGGGTAATACGAGCCACTTTGCTACCTTTTTAAAACTTCTGTGTTTTTAAGAAAAAATGTCAAGTGCCCAAATATCTAAATAGATTATGAATAGGGATCCCTAAAAATTGTTTATTTGCAAAACTTTTGGATCCAGCATATTTATTTTTGAAAATATTCCAATTTTCGCTTAAGGTGCTCATATTACCCTAATCTACCATATATATATATATATATATATATATATATATATATATATATATATATATATATATATATATATATATATATATATATATATATATATATATATATATATATATATATATATATATATAATTTTATATCTAACTATTTTTCTATCGTTTATCAAAAAATATTGATAAAATATTTTTTGATAAATGGTAATTTTGATAAATATATGGAAAGTATAGAAATGGTCGGTATGAGATAAACCTATTTTACGGGACTTGACACCTTGTTTATACTTAAATGAATGCTTTATAATTTTTAGATTTTAAATACTTTTTATTTAAAAAAAACCAGCGGGCACAGGCGTCTGCCAGACGTCTTTTCGACGTATGATTGATGTCTTCGGTCCGTCGAACATCCTTAAGACTTCTACGGGACGTTCAGTGCCCGCTGGGGATAACCAGCAATTAAAACTGAAACAATAAAAAATATTACAAATCATGTAGAATATCTAAGAGATTTAATTGGGTGCAATGTGCAAGATGATCCATTATATCCGTCATGCAGATCAAAAGTTATGGTAAGTTTTACATTAGATAAATAATAAATTTTTATGCTTCTTAGAATGTAAGTTCAAAAACTACTTTAAAATAGAGATATTATGTTGAATATTGTTATAGTTAATAATAAAGATTACAAAATTTTATATTTTTGACGGTGGATACAAGTTATAATAAAGTTGCAAAACTTACAAAGAAATAAAATATTAGAACAATACATTTATCATTCAATTAAGGTGATCATGTTGATCTTTCAAATTAAACTAAAAGAATAAACTAGTAAACACTTTTATATTAGTAACATTAAAATCTTTTTGTTTACTTAAAAATATGAAGTTTTTTTTTAGTTATTTTTCTAATCTGCAAATTAAAGACTTGATCATATTAAATATTATGCAGTGTTTGTTTTTTAAATAATACTTTTTTTTTATAAATTTTTTTTTTAAAGTTTTTATTGGAACTTCAACCTATACTCATTTTAATTTATTTAGATAAGTTATGAAAATTGCTTTAATTTTCTTAAAGCTGTTAATAATCTACTAACTCTTTTGAGTGAAGTTTTTATTAACTATTTGATAAAGCATTTAATCCAATATTGTATAAAGAATCTTACTTTTTTTACGGGAAGTAATGTGTGTTTTATAAAGAATTTTATTTTGACTTTAAAAGTGCTTGCTTAAACCAAAACTCTCTGTCAATGTATGTATATTCCACTGCGCCTATGGCTATTTCAGTGTGTATGCCATTATTATATCAATATGTGCATTAATTCAGTTATAAGTGAGAACTACCCTATCTATCATGGAAAATTTCCATGAAAAAACCCATGAAAAAAAACCATGGAAAAACCATGGTTATAACACGTTTTCATGGGAAATCCATAAGTTTTCCATGGGAAATCCATGAGTTTTCTATGGGAAACCTATTAGTTTTCAATAAAAACTCATTAGTTTTCCATCGGAAATCTATGAGTTTTTGTGGAAAACACGTGAGTTTCCCATGAATAATCCATAAGTTTTTCATGGAAAAGTGTTCCAAATACCATGGATATTCAATGATTTTCCATCCATGGGAAAAACCATGGAATTTCCATAGGTATTAGGAACACCTTTCTTGATTTGTTTTCAAGTTTTATTGATCTAATGATATTTGAATTGTCATATTAAATCATAAAAGCAAATTTTTTCACATAATATTATTGAGTTATCTTAATCTATGGGATCGCTTTCTCCGAATAAAATCAATAAACAAAATAAAATTTTAATCTTGTTAAATCCTACAAATCTTTGAAAAATTATAGCTATAATGCGCCTAAAACATCAAAACTTGACTTCCCCACAATATTTAATGTATGCATATGGATAACATAGTGAAAATAAATAAAACAAAAAATTACAAGTAATATAATACTATAAGTGATATGCATAGTGATAAACAATTGAAATGTATCAAAAAAACAATTTTTACAGAAAAAACTATTTGATAGAAATAGTATATATAAATTTGATAATAACTTCAAGTTTTATCAAGTTAAAAAGAACCATCAATACAACATATTCAATCCAAAAAAACATCAAGCCCATTTATAAGTGCGACTGCACTGTATCTGTAGAAATAGGTAGATGTAAAACAAAGTACCATTTACAATTTGATATTCATTATTTTTTTCACCGTAGTTAGTCTCATTCTCCATTTCACCAATCTAGATAATACATCATACTACTATTATATACATTCTAACTAGTTTTCTTTATTTACTAATTCATTTTACTTATAATTATTATCTATTATAACTTACTTTATAATTAGGCATTATACGCAATTATGAATTTTGCCAAATGTTAGGTAATATTTATATAGAAAAAAGTAGCAATGAATATATTATTATTTAGAGATAACAATTAGTAGATTATTACCTCTTTTTCGCCTAAGCTTTCTGCATTATGTACAACATCGTTTATATTTCCAGCCAAACATTCCTGTCTATAATGCAACTTAATTAAAATGATTTATTCAAACCAATACATATATAAATGTTACCTGCATGTTAGAAACATTTCTAACATGTAGAACAAGGCATAACAAATATTATATTACTTATTTATTTTTGTTGTTAAAAAAAAAACTTACTTCTTCTTCTGAGCTATCTGCATGATGTACAACATCATTTACAAACCTGTTTTCTTCACGTCCTTACCATCTTTATATATATTATAAATCACGGAATTTGTTAATGAACACCTAAACAAATAAATTAAAAATTTATATTGCCAGTCAAACCTGCCTCCTAATAATGTAGTAATTTAAATGAAATGAAAAGGTTAAAATGAAAAGATTTATACACATAAATAAATTTTACCTGCATGTTAGCAACATTTATATAGAACAAGGCAGCAACAAATATAGCATAACTTATAAATTGTAATTTTAAGTAAAAACTTACTTCTTTGTCTAAGCTGTCTGCATGATGTACATCATTATTTATACTGTCAGTAAAATTTACCTGATTATAATGCATTAATTTAAATAAAATGATAAAATTAAACTAAAAGAACTTATGCATACACCATTAAATTCAAAAATTTATTATATTTTTACTTTACTATTTAAAACATAACAAATATAATAAATATGTAATTTATAAAGTATAGTAATGTAAAAGCATAATAAATATCAAAGTGTGTGCATAAATTAATTTATTTTAACTAAAGACGAACACTTTACGGTAGTGAAATATAAACAAATAAAAATAATTGTATTATAATAAATAATAGTGTATTATTTTTAAACATTGCTTTTTTATGCTTATATTTAACTATGAAGTAAAATCTTGTGCATTAATTAACTTCCCTTTCCGATATTTTTAAAACATTACCACAGTTTTCCTTGTCCAACTAAGTGGTTCTTAGAACATCCGTTACAAGTTGAATCTCAAAGATTATGTTTATATCTTTTCTGGTTAATTTAAACTCAATTCACCATTTTATTTTGACAGCTTTTGAACTATTTAAAAAAATATTAAATGCATATAAAAACTGATGATGTTGTAAACAATATAAACGATGAACAACATTATTTATATTGCCAGTCAAACCTGTCAGCTTATATTGTAGTAATTTAAATAAGATAATAAAGTAAATATAAAAGAATTTTTAAACAATATTTATACTACATTATTTACATATTCTAATAATTCTAAAGAAAAAACAACAACAAAAAGACAATAACAACTTAACAGAACTAAAATTGAATAGAACATTTATCATAAGAAAAAGTTTTTTTAATACTTAATGAACATTTATACTATAAAATAAACTTCAAGCATTTTTATGTAATCTAACCCTATTATAAAAAAAAATAAATAAAAAAGATCGTACTAGTTATCTTTTGTACATTAGTTATCAAATCTTATTATCTTATCTTATCTTAGTTATCTAATCTTATCTGATATACTGCTTATATATTAATATATTATATAAGTTTGTTTAATATGTTAGATAAGTATTATAATAATAATTATATTAGTTTTAATATACATTAGATTACACTATGTGCATTAATACACTAGTTATTTAATGTAGATTAAAACTAAATGTTTATTTGTTGTAAACCAAATAATAATTATTTGGCAAATAATTTGCCAAGTAAGCATTTAAATTCAAACTGGTTTACTTGACATACTTGCTATACTATTGCAAGTAAGGCAAAGTAAGCAAAGCTATTGGAAACAATTAAAATAAGTATATGCATAAATGATCTATAAGTAAATGTTATTAAAAATAATCCATTTTATAATGCATTATAATATGATAAATATATCTAGTTGTTTATGTCTGTATGTTTAGTTTAAATAATATAAATGTGATGCATTATAAAAAACATATAACTTATAGTCTTATTAAACACAGAAAAACAGAAAAATGCATTAAGTATAGGGATTACAATCCCGCGATCCCGGATCCCGAGATCCCGGGATCCCGGACGTTTTTGGGTCCCAAAAATCCCAGGATTCTAAACACAAAATCCCAGAATTTTCAGGATTATAGCAGGATTGAACTAATTAAATTATTTTGTAAAACAAAATGTTCAAAGTTGGTAACTATACTGAATTATAACGAGTTATATAATGCTGCTTTGCAGGTTTATTCTGTTTATGCTTTATCCTTACGATAAATGGAACAAATTTTTGAATAGACCATGGAGTTCGGGATTTTATCATTGAAAAAAGTTTCACAGACACAAATTAAGGCAGGTTTGTTTGACTATTGTATAAAAAACAATCGTTAAGTTTGTTGGCAAGACTTCTCGCGTTAAAAAGATAAATTTTAAAAATGTTGAGCGAATTTGTGGTTAAGTGATTGCTTGAGTTTATTAAGTCGTTTTGTTCATTTCAAAAAATATTTTTAGAGAATGAAAAAAATAAAAATAAACAAGTAATAAAAAAAAAATTATATCTAAAAAAAATTAATGATTACTACATAACAATTCCCTTTGGGATATTTCTAGCGATTTGTATAATTATTTGTGTACAATTATTAGTTATTGCAACATTATAATGCCCTTGACAATTAATTCCGCTTGAAGGAATTCTAGTGTGAATACATACAAAATTTGACTGTGTAATGAATCGTTTTGAACGTTTTGAACTGATAACCTTTTTAATGCTTTTGTTGTTTACCGCAATAATATGTTGTTTACTAATGCACCTTAAAAAAATATCCTTCTAAACATGAATGAAAACAGTGAAAAGGGAACATCATTTTTTCTACACAAAAAAGATAAAGACCCAACTTCAGTGTGGTCACATTATTTGAAGTCTGCGGATAATTTGGCAGCAAAATGTAAGAAATGTGGTGTAATTTTGAAAACATTGGGTGGTTCTACAAAAGGCCTTCATACGCACTTATCAACTAAGCATAATTTGAAAGTAACTTCAGCCGACAAAAATTTACCTAGTTCGAGTCAACAGTTGAATGATGCCAAAACCGACGAGAAGCCTCGTACGAAACGAAGAATAACG